TCTCTTCTACCACCTCAATTCAAGAACAAAAGCACTTATTTTAAGAAAAAAGGACTTATCTAGATTTAGATTTTTTGCAGGGTAGAAGTAGTTGTACTGTGCCGTACTTCTTACTTTTACTTGAGTATTTCAGTAAAGTATCGCCGTTCCTACTTGAGTAAAATCTCTGACTACATTGTTCTTTATGAGTAATTTGAAATATTCCAAAATCAGGTAAACTTACAGTAAACAGATATTAACAGTGGACGTTTATTAATTTTCCTAACATATATATATATATATACAGTTCTCATTGTAAGGATTGGTTTTCTAAGCATTTCTCCTGCATGAATTGGTTCTTGTAGATTGATAACATTTCTATTCTTTAGGCATTTGAGTCTTTAAAATACCAGAACTTACACATAAAGTCTTTAAGCAGCATGATTTATAAACATTAAATCTTAGACTTAGATTTATTTTGTCATTTGTATACACACGTGTAAACAAAAAGAAAGGTTAAGAACAGCTCTCTAGACAATTTCATTTTTTTTTAAAGTGCAGCCTTGAAATCAGTAAAAACTACATAAAAACAGTAATAAAACATATGACTGTATATTAACCTAATGTCATTACCCATCAGTTATTCCGTTCCCTTTTTAATGAAATACTTTTTACTTTCACTGGTGTCAAAAAATGTAAAAGTAGTGCTACTCTGAAATTAGTAAAATTTTTTGGGTAATCTACCGATCTCTGCTGAACAGACCTACCTGAGGACAATTAGTTCCCCAGTTAACCCAGTAGTCCTGTTTGGACTGGGGAAGGAGCAGGAGAACCGGGAGGCCTTCAGGCAGTGGCATCTGATCCCTGAATACCTTGTTAGTCATGGAGGGAGTAGAATACCCAGATAATGTACTCACAAGAGCATTACTTAAGCAAAGTAATTGTACATTTTTATCTAAAATGTGCTCACATCAATGTAACTAGTTTCTACCCACCTCTGCATCCATGTCTGCTTTATCAGCGGATCTTTTATTTGCAAAACCATCATTACATCTAAATGTTCTTTCATGAAGAGAATCAGAACATGCCTGCAGTACAAATGCAATAATCCAAGTCAACTACTGTGTAGTCTTTCCTACGGAAGAGGATTAGGGCCACTGAAAAAAAAAAAAAGTTAACTGATTTTTAAATTTTATTTAAGTCAGAATTCTGACTTTTTTCTCAGAATTCTGATTTTTTTTTATTGTCAGAATTCAGCACTGACGGACACTTTTCACCTGTTTTGCATTATTCCCCAAGCCATTGCCGCCCTCAACTCCGACCTGCACTGTCGGTCACTTTACACCTGTTTTGCACTACCCCCCCACAATCTGTGCCAGTACTGTTTACATTTCCTTTTCCTTTTATTTATTTTTTTATTTCACAGTAGCTGAAATGGAAGTCCCAAAAATCTCATTGTATCCGTTGTAGAATATGACAATAAAGGCTTTTTAACTTTTAACTACCCACTGCGCCACTGCAAAATAATAATATTCCAGGACATTAAAACTTTGTTTTTTTTGTACTATATACACTCTTTTTAAATTGTCTGTTGTATTTTTTTTTATCTTTAATGGCATCTTGCTTTAACTGTTTGTACTCTATATAAGCTACTGGAACCAGAATTTCCCTGAAGGAGTAATCGCAAGGGATAAACAAAGTTGAGTCCCAGTCTAAGAAGAAAGAATGCATCAATTTCCTCTTAAATTATTTTAATTTCTTGTGTACACTAAAATTTACAGATTTCCAGTCTGAAAAGAAGCCGGGCATGCACGGCGACCTCCTCACAGCCTCTGGCTGCGATTCAGCCGTTTTCCATAGGAACCTCCTGGAACATTTAGTCCATAGTTTAACTGTACACAGTCTAAAGCCACAGTGAGCTATGATTACATCCATTTCATCTTTACAATGTGCAAAAATCCTCCTGGGAGACGGCGACATTAGAATGAACGAAAAAAAAAAAAAACAAACAAAGAAAAACAGCAACAGACACAGACAGGTTGGTCCCTTAATTCCTTCACTGCTCCCAGATTCAACCAAACAAGACTAACAGGAAGGACATATTCACACAGGTGGATGGAGAGCAGCTTCACGAGGCGGGAACGAAGCTGCAGGACACAGAAAACCCCGGAAGGGAGAAACTAAGGCCTCCGAACAGAACGAGGGACGAACATTCAGCTGGATTCTGCAGGCAGTGTGGTTTCAAGTCCATAAATAGATTTATAAAGACTCTTATGTTTATATAAATGTTTTCATACTTTGTAGACCTCTATGAGTCCCACTTCAGTTTAAGAGCTCCAGCCAGTGTTTCCTTCACACTACCGCCAAAATAAAAGCAGAATCACTCAAATAAAACATTAAATCCCTGATTATGTACACACCCCTCCCCCAAAACAGAAACGGTGAACTTTATTCAGAAAAACTAAATAATGAACAAAAAAAGAGGAATTATGCAGGTTAATGGGCGGGGTCTGTTAGTGCGATGGGCGGGGCTTCAGTCGGGCGTGGCCTGTGAGCAGAGTGGCGTCAGTGTGGTGGGGAACATCAGAACCTTGGCCTGCATGAAGGAGAGGTCTGGCAGCGCGGCGATCACCTTGGACGCCTCCTCGCTCAGGTTCTCGTCTTTCCTCGGCTTCCTGTCGGGGGCGGAGACACAAACCGGCTCAGAGCGGTTCTCACTGGGGGTTACGCAGCAGAAAGCGGAGCGCCGGCTCTTACCTGGTGGACGTGCTGGTTTTCTCCATGGTGGACATGAGGCGGGCGAAGGCGTCGGCCACGCGGCTCCCGGCGCCACTCGAGTCCAGCTTGGTAGTGGTGAGCTCAAACAGTTCCGGGTCCACACCTGAGACAGGGGGGGGGGACAGAGATGACCCAGACGGAACCAAACGGACCAAACAGGAGAAACTTTTACCAGAACATCTGGTAAAAAGCTGTAAATCACCAGATTCATCGCGACGCATCAGTTTGTTTAGACGACGATGCGACAATTCGTCTGATCGTTTTCAGTACTCTTAAGATTGTAATTAAATTCAATTTAAAAGTCTGTAATTTATACCATGTGATGTCATCTAACATGATCATTTGCATCTATATCACAACACATCAGAATTAATACAGCATTTAAAAAATAAAACTGCTAAAAAAATAAAAATCATCTGTTCTGACAGTAACACCAGAGCTAGCGTAGACTTAAGGGCAGATTAGACTTCTGCAACCGCACAGATCAAATGTCACATGGGTCTGTTCGCAAACCAGTTTTGCTGGTATGCTTCTGCACCGTCGGTCTGGAATTCCTAGGGATGCACAGCAGTTTACCGCCAAAGCGTAAAGGGTAGGCTAATCGAGAACTCGCGAGAACTTCGGCGGATGGTCACAAGAACTTCGCTTTGGCAGAGAAATTGGCATCTTTATATAATGGCATCGTACAAGAGGTTGTACTTCCGAACCTCTTCGATTATCCTTTCGTCATAGTTGTCCATTGTAGTTGTTTCTTGGTTTTAAAAAATGGCGCGCCCCGGCACCGAATCGATAAAGACGACCACACAGACAGCCGGAAAGGCATACCAAGGACCAATCACAGCTGCTTTTTGTCTACGGACTTCAGCTTGAGATCTGCGCGGGTTTGCGACCGTCCGACGCATAATCAGGATTTTTTTTAGGTCCCTGACGACAGTTGCGGAACCTCTGCGTGGGGGGTCGTGGTCGCGCACAAAGACAGATGTGACGGTTGCAAAGGCTTTGCATCAGAAGCATAAATTTACCTTAAAGATGAGCATGTGAAGCGATATTATTTAACCGAGGGGTATCCAAAAAGGGGGTCAGGAACCCCTGGGGGGGGTTACGAGATACCAAGTTGGGGGCCACAAGATGGCTTTCACAATCATTGTGATGTGTTCCCTAAGGTATATGGATGGCTAAAATGTATCATGAAATAAGGAAACGTATTAAAAGCCAACTTTAAGACTAGTTCTAAATGATATGTGTCGTTATTCTCCTGCAAGGGGATTGGGCAAACCGCTACGCGCACCGTTCCACATGCGCTAGCTACGTACAGGAAACAAAATGTTCATCACATGTAAAATGTAAAACCTCAAAAAAATTCAATGACCCTCAAATACGTGTCTGGTTTTATTAATCTCCGTTTTGAAATTCTTTCTGGACCTTGAGCTTATTTTTATCTTCAAAACTTTCCAGGATTTCAAGGATTGGTGGGAATGCTGTGTTTATTCTATTTTTTCCACCAATCTACAGATGACACAGACTAGTAGCAGAAGGAAGCCACCAAACAAGGTCCTTGAATTTTAGAAAATATTTCCTGGAAAGTTTTTTAAAGTTGACATGAACCAAAGTGTGAGAAACCTTGTAAGGAAATGAAACATTTACTTTATCTAAAAGATGATTCAAATATTAAACATACTATTAAACGATAAATGAAGTTTGATAATTACAAATAATTACATTTAAAATAAGGAATTTAATAATTAAATGTCATGTAAAAATACTTTTCTTTAAAAAAATACTTTAAAAGCTATAGAGGAGGATGTGTTTTTCCCGGGTGGATCATCAAAATAAGTGGCCCTCCTAGTGGAAAAATTGCAAATCTTCTTTTGGAAAGTAAGCTTGTATGAACGATGCAAAAAGCAACTTTTAAACAGTGTGCACAAGGAGAAATGGGCTAATGCACGCTCTCACATGCATTTAATAGATGTACCCTCTCAGGAGCGGGTACAGAGTTGTGCATGTGATTTTTTTTTTTTAAGTGGAGAGGGCGGGTAATTTTAAAAATTTGCGGAAATCCTTTTTGGATAGATCTGTCTTTACACCCTGTTTGAGAAGTGAGACTAAGGTGTCACCCACCAGATGTCTGGACAAAAAAAAAAAAAAAAAAAAGAAGAGGTCCAGATTTTACTCTGTGTTAGGAAAAAAGTAGCAGACTAGCCGGGCTGTAGCAGGTATGCTTCAAAAGCCTGGAGAGGGCGGAGCTTCGGCAAGCATTGTCGTACTGCATTTGCCCCACCCTCACCTGTTTCTTCGCCAATAACAGACAGGTTTCAATTCCTATAAAAAAACCTCATGAGTTTGGAAAGTTAGGAAACTAAGGAAGCTAAAGGAATGCCGGCCAGCAGGGAGAGCTATGAGTAGGCAGCCAAACAGCATAATGCAAGCTAGCAGACTGAACCATTATCTGGCTAATTAACCAGCCAATATCATGTCTGTTATGTCAGCATAACAGGCTCCCACAAACACCAGGAACCAGGAGTTATGTTCATGCTGGTCCAACCAGCTCAAAGGATGAACTCAAGGTGGAAACCAACCAGGTGACCTGAGGCTCTGCCTTCTACTGGACATTTTCTGGACATTTTCTTAACCCTATAATGCCAAATGTATCATATTCGATACATATGCTTTCTGAAATGTTTTGCATCTGACACCTTTTGTTTAATTTAATGGTAAAAACTTTGCTCAAAATCCTATTGTACACAATCAGATATACCTGATAACGGCGAGTAGACTACACAAAAAATTATCTTAATTAAATAAATTATTAATATCAAAAATGTATTTGTTTTTTCTTTTGACATATTTTGTTAAAAGGGCAAATAAGGAATTCAAACAAAAAAAAAGTAATTTTCTGTTTTGTTTTATTCTTGGATCGGGCTTTAAAGGGTTAAAGGTTATTGGTCGGGTTTTAAGGGCAACATTATGCCCAGAACCAAAACCTGGATCTGGAGAAAAGACAATTAAATGGTATATATTCAGAATAAATTCAAGATCAGCAAATTATTTCTGCATTGTTTACTTCTGTATTAGTATGAGACCGCAAAAACCAAGTGGCGGTCCTCAAGGGTCCATTTTAGGGACCCTCTTATTTATCTCATTCATCTCACCCTAACTTATCAGTTACCTTAGCGATGCTGATGACATCCAGCTGTACATTACCATGTCACCAGCTGACTATAAACCAGCTCTGGGTGAATGCACAGAAGAAACCAAGCACTAATGTCTCAGCAGGACCTTAAAGTAACTCCTGATTCGTTCATCTTTAGTAGAATTGATCCCTGCAGCGGTGTCCTCACAGGTCTGCCCAAAAAGTGGATCAGCAGCTGTAGCCGATTCAGAACGGTGCTGCCTGCGTCCTCACTAGAACTAAGAAAGTAGAGAACATGATCCCACTTCTAGAGTCCTTCCACTGGCTCCCCGTATCTCAGGGAATAAACTTTAAAATCCTTCTGTTAGTCTAATATGGCTTTGCATCAAAATACATTCCAGACTGGTTGGCAGGAGATCAACAGCCAGACCTCTCAAGTCTACTGGATTAGAACCACAAGAAAACACTGAGAAGCAGTTTTTGGTTCTTATTCTCCACTAATCTAAAATAAACTCCCGGAAGACAGTTAAAGTGCTAAAACCCTCAGCTGACTTGACTTTTTATTTATGTATAGAGGAGATGTTTATATTTCCTCTTTATATGAAAACTATTAGACTGACCCCATGAGACGATGCTCTGATCCACCTGCAGCAGTGGTGCGTTTTGTTGGGAATCCTTCCTAACCTGGGCGCTCCAACCCTTCCTTCAAAAAGTCGCTCCCTGTCCGCGGAGAGGGCTGGACTGCATGTGCACTTAGACCTGCGAGCACTGATGCTGCGTTCACACCGGGCGCAGCTGGCGCGACAGAAGCAGCGAGTTGACATGCAAAGTCAATGGTTGACGCGCGTCAA